GGGGTTACTCGTTTCCCGCTGTCTTGGAATTATGCTTAGGCCAGGCGCATGGTTGCCTGCACTTGTTAGAGTTGACACCAAACTTCCAGTGGTACCAACAAAACTGCCCAGATTGTCTGGACATTTGTGACCTATTTTGTGACTTGGATCGTGATCGTTGTGGTGACCTGTTCCTGTTTGTATGACCCATTTGCATTCTGGTGACAGCCTCAGTGAGACTCTTAACACTCGCAATGAGTCCTTCTATGACGGGGTCTTTTGCTGATTCTACTTTCTGTGTGTGATTTATTGTGCCTGATCCAGTTGGAGGACCTCTTTCCATTATTCTATCAGCTATACGCGCTAAATGAGATAATGAGGTTTCAGGATCTTGTGCATCCAAACAATGTTGGACGTAGCATGGGAGAGCTTGTATCCATCCTTGTTTTAGGACTGCTTCACCCACTGTGTTATCACCCACTAAGACTTGGAGGTGACGTAGAAACTGTGACGGCGACCGATCACCTAGTGTTTCACCTTGAAAAAGTCTTTGGATTCTTTGACTATCTGATAATGATAAACGGTTCATTATCTCTCGTCTTAAGACGGTGTACGGTTGTGGTGATGGTGGATCTAAAATCAAGTCACGGACTTCTTTGGCGACTGAAGGAGGAAGGATAGAACACAAATCTCTATAGCGAATCCCTTCAGATTTGATATTGTGTCTCGTGAAATAATGCTCGAGTTGAGCAAACCACAACTCAGGATCACTACGATCAAATTCTGGAAGTCGAGATTTCGTAGTCATAACAGTGTCTATCTCCACTGATGACAAATCCTCCAGATTATGGGTTTCTTTTAAGTCTGACATGAGGTATGTGACAAATATAGCAACAAAATTAGCACGAAAAAAAAATGGTTTCTATGACACGAATAACTTAAGATAATAAAAAAAATAAACTATTTATATACCCAACTTAGTTTACGGATTATCAGGTCTACTTTTACGATTGAGTAAAAAAAATAATATTAATAACAAAAATGAGGTTAATTTGTGTTCAAAAAGGGCTCACCAGTTTCGTGCCTATAGGTAACCCTCGTACTATTGATAGAAGAAACACGAGAAGTTGTGAGTACGTGTTTATTTCGATCTTAGCGCAGTCACAGTGGAGCGTGGGATTATCTGTTCAGACAAACAAAGGCTTTCAGCATTCAATATAAGATAATAAGGAATATAACGCTCATACAAAATAAGGAAGTGAATGAATACTTGAACAATACTGTTTTGGCATATGCTTGGTTGTTTGGGGTCAACTCTTAACCAACCAACCTATGCTGTTACAAAGTCATGATTAATAAACAATGAATAATAGGAAAGGATAAGCCATATATTCTGTGATTTGGTTATATTCATTTTAGTAACAGTCGAACTTGTCATAATTTTGTTCTTTCTAGATACTAGGCCGTCCGTAATAAAGTGCCTCCTCAGTCATCGCGATCTGGGAAGGGGTTGTTTGTGTCTCATATTCTTGGGATTCTGTTTACGCCAGGCTTGTGGTTGCCTGCACTTGGTTGAGTTGACACCAAACTTCCAATGGTACCAACAGAAGTGCCCGGGTTTTCTGACCTGAGTTGTAACTTGGATCTTGGTCGTTGTGAAGACCTGCTCCTGTTTCAACGACACAGTTGCATTCAGGCAACAGCCTCAGTGAGACTTTTAACACTCCCAATGAGTCCTTTTATGACTGGGTCTTTTGATGGTTCTTCCTTTTGCATGTGATTTATTATGCGTGATGCTATACGCGTTAAATGATATAAAAGGGTGTCAGGATCTTGTGTGTCCAGACAATGTTGGATGTAGCAAGGTAGGGCTTCTATCCATCCTTGTTTTAGGACTGCTTCATCTGACGTGTTGTCACCCACTAAGACTTGGAGGTGACGCAGAAACTGCGATGGTGACATATCACTTTGTGTTTCTCCTTTGAAAAGCTCTTGAGTTCTTTGGCCGTCTGATAATGATAAATGGTTCTTCCTCTGCTGTCTAAAATGGTGTAAGGTTGTGGTGACGGTGGACATAAAATCAAGTCACAAACGTCCTATGCGACTAATGAAAGGAAAACAAAACATAAATCTTTATAGCGAGTTCCTTCACATTTGATATTGTGTCTCTTGAAATAATACTCGGGGTCACTGCGATCAAGTTTTGGGAGTCAAGCTTTCATAGTCATAACAGTTTTTATCTCTACTGATAAAACATCCTCCATTTTATGGGTTTGTATTGAATCTGATATGAGGTATACGAACAATATAGTAAAATAATAAGAACGACGTAAAATGATCATCACAACACGAATACCTTAAAATAGAAAAACGTTGTGTAAATATATATACCAAAAGTTGGTGAAGGATAAGTGTAACGACCGAACTGCCAGTATTGAGCTTGAACGCAGGACTGACGAACCGAAATGTATTCGAATAAGTCAGACTACGTTCTTCTGTATAGCTTACAAAGCGTCTTTGAGACACTTGCATTAAATTATATCAAAACACAAACTCCGAGCTCAATTTAAACGGTCCTACTTTAGGAAATAGAACAAATTATGTCAAAAATACAAAATACCTCAAACGATACAGCCTGTGCTATACAGTCAAAGGTTTACCTAACGAAAAGTAGACAGCGCTAAACAGTAAAAGAAACAGTTAACACTAAAGGGTTCGATATCTGAGAATCAATAAAAATATTCTCAACAAGATGGGATCAAATATCTATCTGCAGGGATTCTCGCGGTCATCCCAAGCAGACACTTAAAAGCTTAGCAGTCACACAGTGAACTACTCCGTGACCTTGAGCTTAGCCAAACATGACCTTACTGTCAATAGTCCGGCAACATGCAATAGAAAGTTAGGTAACAAAAGATAAGTCTTTCATCAAAATCACATAATAAAGGCTCAGACGAGGAAGACCAAAGAACAACAAGTGTGGTTAAACAAGATCCGAACAAAGGTTAAAATACAGGGAGAAGAGACAGATAAATGACATTACTGTCCAACAGAAGAGCTGTGGATGGATTTTCATCGTTCTCTTCCCGTTACGACAAGGATAGAACTAAGTAAAAGATAATAGTAACACGTTTATTAAATTAAATTTGTGTTCAAAGCAGCGCTCACCATTTTCGTAACTGAAGGTTACCCGCGTTCTATTGATAGAAGAAACCAGACTATTTTTGTTATTATTCACAAATATCTTAGGGGTACATAAGTGTTGTGAAGAAACCATTTCTGGTTTCTTTCGAAAATACAATAATGCACAAGTTTCAATAATGTTAGCATTATATTTGCCATATTTGAAAAAAGAGAGTAATTATAATAAAATAATGATAATAAATCTGTGTAATTGAGAAGAACATTGAATTGAGTTTAAAGAGGGAAAGGAAGGAAATAAGGAAATCGAAATAAAGGAGACGTGAAATACGCAAATAGTTTAAAAGGCGGGTTTATGAACACAGAACAGGAATAAACGACTATGTGTGCATCGTCAAATTAGTAACATAAATAAAATAGAAAATAATTAAGAAAAAATAAATTATTATTGCAGTAAAGTATGACTCTAGAATAAATGTTTGTGCAATCATAGTTTGGAGTGATGCTATGAAAGTCTCAACTAAGTAGAAAGGATAACCACATATCAATATGTATGAGTCATATATGAATAGAGAAGATAAAACGAGTCTGAGAAGTTGATTTAAGTGTAACACAAGTTACTGTATTAATTAAAAACTTTGTAATCTCAAGAATAATATTGATTTGGATGGAAAAAAGAGAGAGAAAAGAAATGAACACCTAGTGAAAGGGTTAAACCATGATGATAATAGTAATTGTGTAATGAATATCGACCTCTAAAGTATACCAACAATTAAAAAAATGAAATAAAATAAGATAAAAAGTTCCTTTAGTGCACTCGGATAAATAAATGTATATTTATGTTATATTATACAGAGTGAAACATTTGTACAATAATTGTTAAGAATGACTCTATGAAAGTCACAATTAACTGCAAAGGATAGGTCTTTATTTAGATCGTGGGACAGTCACAGTGGAGCAGTATGTTACCTGTTCAAATACGCAAAGCTTTTCAGCATTCAATATAGGATAACACGAAATATAATGCCTATACGAAATAAGGAAGTGAGTTAATACTTGAGATTTATTGCTTTGATATATACTTATTTGTTTGAGGTTAACTCTTAGTTATTACAAACTGCAAGATGTTTAGCTGAGATACTGTACCTAGCGGTGTGCCTCACGGCACAGCTTAGGGACCACCGTTGTTCCTTCTGGATGCAAATGACCTCCATGTTCTCCTGTCATCACTGGTTCTGTTATATGCTGACGATGTCGAGACATCGAGAGCGATAAAAAGTAACGGTGATCGTTTATATCTTCAAAATGACCGGGGAAAAATAGCTGAATGGTCGAAAAATTGCCATTTGCCGATAACTGCTTCCAAATGCAATATAATGCATAGTTGTCCACAAGATACAGGTACATACAAGGTGAATAACAACGAGCTACCTGTTGTTAAGACATACAGTGACTTGAGAGTCATAGTAAGCCAAAACTTTAAAAAAATACTACACGTTGCCATCTGATAGCCGCTATAGGTTTTGGAACCCTATGGTCAATATGTAGGACCTTTAGCCATGTCGGTGCTAAAGCCTGTTTGAGAACGTATACAGTATTCGTCCGTTCTGAATTTGAGTACTGAGTACAAGGAACCAGCTCCCGCTTAAAAAAGACCGAGCTTTGGGAAGGGTTCACAGAACCGCGACTAAGGTGATTCAGAAAATAGCGAAACTCCCGTATCATGTCCGACTGGCTAAGCCAAACTTATTCCCATTGTCATATTGGAGTATCAGAGGGGCCATAATTTCTGTTTTCAAGTTACTTAACGACAAATTTGCATTAAAATTGATAGTGTTTTCTGTTTCTGACAACTGTTAATTGTTTCTTGGAGTTTGTTTCTTTCCTTTGTGGTATCGTGGGAAACTCGTCTCCACAAGGTCGTGTTGGCATCCTCTGTACGTCCTCTTTGAAAATGTCAATGTGCATATATGGGCAATAATATTTCTGACTCCTCTATTCACTTAGTAAAAAGTGACTGTTTGAGGGGCGGATTCGCGATCTATAAAAATGATAATTATGAGGTTTCATTCCATCATACTGTTCAACCTTCATATAACAAGTTTCGCATTATCAAGTACCTTAAGACACATACAACAACTAATAGAAATGATGATTCGCAAAGTGATATGAAAATTAGTGCGTGTGCAAACTTGCTTGCGTGTGATGATTTACTCAGCTCGTCGGTAAGTTATTTCAACTGTTGCTGCTACTAATCAAGATACCTGTTAGGCTGCGTCATCCGTCTATTCTTCGTGTCCACAAGGCTTGTTCTGATGCACTTAACAGTTTGTACTTGGTGGTTGAAAACTCAGTCCCATTTAGTGCTTTCGTTACTAATCCCACCATGGATGACCTACTAGCTGGGTCCTATAGTCTTCTTTCTGCTCTCAATTTCCTGCATAATACAGTAACTAATTGTCAACTAATATCCCTTCGACTAGCTTGGAGTTTCGCACAATAACGTGGATACTACCAGTGTATTTATTGATTCGAATATGTGTTGGAAGTTGTGCGGTTTTGAGCTCGCTCTGGAATTTAAGAATATGTCTTCTGACCATATACGAAGAATTGAAGCTTTAAAGGGACGACAAGACGCAAAAGTAGGTCAAACAAAATTATCTGACGCTTTTCAGGCTTTAAATTTTGATCCGGCGTATGCCTTCTGTTATGATATATATTGTTTTAGCCGAATGATTTGTACGCTAACTGATACAGGCGAAGGTTTTGTACTTCATCACTCATAATTGTTTTGTTTCCCTAGGTCCTTTCTATAATCTCATACAGGTTTTAATTAACTCTTGCATGCATAGTTTACCCAAAGCGCGTATACCTTCTGACCACCTACTAGCTCACCCATCTTTCAAGTAAGCTTCTTCGGAGTTCTTAGATTTGTTATTTAGGAGCCCATATATATCCACATTGGATTTTCTAGACACATATGTGAGTCGTAGTGATGAGGAGAAGGAAGTGTTCTTCAGGTACGACTATTGTAAGATTTTTTGGTTCTGTCAATTTTCATTTAATAAAGATGTACATACGAAATCTGTTCAGTACCATTTGAGTTATTGTAGTTTCAATCACTCACTACTGAAATAGAGCATTATACCTGTATTTATATGAAAGTTCATGTTAATCGATGTAGATGAAACCTCCACTTGGTTCAACTCATTACCAACTAGTCTACTTGACCTAATATTCTGTTCCGTTTAGTAAAAGCAGCAAGTTTGTCGTTAAGCTATATTACTTTGTGGCGTTTGTCTATTACCAAAAGCTAGAGTGACCAAATTAAGATATGGCATCAGTACATATATTGGATTATTGGTCTTTGGTTTGTTCTTATTTATTATTTATCTGGACACGATTATTAGTAAAAGAGGGCATGGAGTACATATGCACGGCACAATGAAAACGAGGCCAGCAGTAGTTACTGGTCTGTGTGAGGACTGTGGTACTGCCCAGGTGCCCAAACCGAGGCAGGTGGTTTTCTTAGAGGGCCACTCACTGAGCCTTTTGCCTAGAGGTCTGATCCACAAAGCAGTGGAGTAACGTCAGAAGATCCAGTCCAATAGTAACCGATGACCAACAATTCGTTCATACGCCATTTGTTCTCTCGGGATCTTGTGACCCATGTACATTATTGGTTTGGAATCAATGTTTTCCTACTCTAGGGGGATCGTCCGTGTCCACCAACTCTGTTAAAGCTCTAGTCATCCGCTTCTCGTTCTCTCGATTCGGTAAACAACACTCCTACCACGGGAAAGCAGTGAGAAGGACTTCCCTGGCAGTGGCTGTATACGCGTGGTCATGTGAGAGCATTTCGAGACGGCGAACGAACTTTCGCCACCCTCGGCTGTACCAGGGCATTTGAGAGTCTTAGGTTTGTTGGCAGTTGGGGACTGTTCAGCTGGGGTTCGTGCGATTACCATGGTCAATAGTTCGGGTCATTGGATGACATTGCACTTGACGAACCCACTCTTCACAGTTGAACTCAAAGTTCATAGAAACCAATCATCAATTGTGTATTCGGAGGATAACATTTTTAGTGTCGTTCAAAGCTTCCACACAATCTGGTATTCAGTCAGCTGTTATAAAACAGGGTCTCACGTTTCTTTTTTTATGAAACCCTAATCGTGATAATGCTGAGTGATTGATCAACGCATTGGTACGAAGTGGCTGCTGACGAGAGCGAATTTCTGACTTAAGCTCCCGAATGATTTGAAATTAAGAAAAAGATCGCAAAACAGAGGGAAATGTTTGTATATCGAATAAGGTTACATGTTTATGTGCATAACATGATAAAATGTCATAGGCGGCTGATGGGCATTAGTATTTAAGTCACTAACTCCAGTCGGTCAGGACCTGATCGTTAGGCCAAATTCTTGCCTTTCATGACATTAACATATTCCTCACCAAACTGGACTTTTATTTGCTCAATTTAACTTGATAATAGAGTCTTCAACATAAAGTCACATCCTTATAATCCTACTCTAATAAAGATAAACATTTTGAAACATATCAATTATAAAATAAATGAAAATACCGAATGTGAATAACCCTGGCGCAGACCATCTAACTTAATCATTTCAATCAAGCCTTTAATAAAGGCCTTAAACAGAGTTACTTGGGTTTTTGGTACCCATTCGTGGCAAATAATATTGTAAGACCTCTTGGTATAATGGGTTATATACGTAACACAGGATGGAGATTTTGAAGGTGCTTGCAAGGTTTAGCGCCACTCCAATGTGAAGAAAGTTCACTACAATAGGCCTTTCCAAAATGGTGTCTTTTAGTATAATTTACCCATCAAATATTGATCTATATACTTGGCTTTAAAACATATTGAAAACTTGCGATACCACGAAGTTAGCAGAATGTGTTTTAAACTTTGAATCTGGTTGGAAGACGACTTCTTTAGACACTAAGCCATCTCCTTAGTAATCGAAGCTCATCTATCGAGACTCAGACCCAAATCTAATCCTTACTACGTTAATGGACATAATCGAGTGTTAGGTTTTGGAGCTTCACGAGTTCACTTGATCTGCGAACGAGAACAAGACTCAGTGACCAAAGACCAGTAATCTAGCTATTAATGCGTTCCAGCCCCGCTACCTAGAAGGAGAAGTCCAAGCTTGGTATGGAAAATATATTCTGCAAACAGCCAGAAAACGAGCGAACCCACAAACACAATTTAAAACGTATGTATACAAATATACATAGTCGATATTGTCATGGGAATTTTCTAAACATTAATCAATGAGTTCATCAATTGACTGCTATTTAATCATTTAATCGATAAGTTAATCGATATGATAAAATTACAAATATGAGTTTTGGGGATATATCGTCCCCAACATCGAGTAGTATTACTGGCTCTACCCCCCAACACATAAACCGATACTTGGCTACTAAACTAATGTTATCTCATTTCTCGTTCTTTTTTTTGGAATCTAGATCATTTACAGAAAAAGTATTTAACAGGATATCAGAAGAGTTATTTTGTCGCAACATTTTACCAAAAATGTTCGAAAACACCATCTTTCTTGATTATCCGGCTCAAACCGTACTTGCGCAGATTTTCCACGCTTTTGAAGGTGTGTTTTCATTTTGATTATTAGTTTTGTACCCTCATTTTTAATAGGGGAACTATTTTCCTCGTGGAGTGTTTTGTTCCATATACTTTGTAAGTGATTTCGTTACGATTCCTTTGAACACTAATGTACTGCAACTCAAATACTGACCCATGGTACATATAATCCTACAATAAGTGACTACAACTCATATTCCCACTCTTCACAATACCAAAGCGAGCGTCAACACGGAAAATATCAAAATTTCTTAGGACAAATCTCTTTTCTCTAGACCTGCACGCTAACGGACACAACTAATGGTATTTACTAGTCTAAAAACAGCAATTAATTGCTTTGACCTTCAGTGTTCAACACATAAATACCTAATAAATATATCACCGTCTTAAGAGCTGTTTATTGGGGAACTTATGTTATTTCATTATTTAATATACTTTCATCCGGACTGGCTATCCTGAGTAGTGTTTGGAATTATCCATCATTTTCACTCAGCTTGGTCATGGGTGTTTTAAATGGTTACACTTTCGTCTTTCCAAAAGCATGTTTCCTGATTGGAGATCCTCTTTAATATTTATTCCCCATAATAATGTTTATTCGTTAGTCTTCAAAATAGTGTAAATCGCTCCCAATGTATATCCCAGATCGTATAGTGTGTAGATGTGCCCAGTGTTTTGTGTTCAGTGCATTGATTTGTGCATATGTGTTTGAGTCATTGTCGTTTGTGAACAGTCAGTCGGTCATCTACAACGTAGGACAATGCACATATGTGCGTCAGTCCAAGTTGCCATACCTTATTAGCACAACAAGGTGAACACCAAATTCATAGAATTAGTTACTTCACGGATAGTAATATATGAAAAAAAGTTCGCATATAAGATTATGATACAGGGAGAAAGAATTAGTTCGTAGAAAGGAAGGTATAAAGTAATTTTAATCTCTCTGTTTAAGGACAGACAAAGAGTACATACCCCTACACCATTGTGATCGATTCTGAGCCATGTCACCCAGAGTCTCCAACCACTAGTTACTATAGTCACGCGGAACACAATCAAATGGTATGCATCTACCAACATGGCAAGACTAGAAGTTAGTGACTTCAAGCACCGATACCACGTTTTGGTTTGGCCGCCCCTAACTTTCTTCCAACCATCTCCAGCACCGGTTAGCATTGCGCGTCGTGGTAATCGGTGTTCGGGCATACGTAACACGTGGCCCAACCATCTCAGTCGATGGAGATTCACAACCTCATCAACTGATTTACCATCATTCCCTAATACTCTGAGTCTAACCTCACTATTACTTACCCGGTGATCCCAGCAGATGCCAGCGATATTTCTAAGGCATCTGTAGTCAAATACTAGTAACTTACGAGTATCTTATTCATTAAGAAGTATAATTTAGAAGGCTTGAAAAACAAATTTCTTCTTTAGTTGGTAATGTGATACTCTGTTAGTCGAGCATATGCTACTGTGTTTGTCCAGTCAAATGCTGCAGCGACGAATTTTTTTTTACCAAATTGATCATTCCTGTAAACTGGCGTGAATTCTGTAATTATTATTTTCAGAATATATAAAATTATATTTAGTTATTGAGTTCTTATTTTGTTTTTGTCGGTGGTGATTACATAAACGGATATATATATATATACTTTTTTGTTATCAAGTAACTTGATTCGTTTTTGGTCTGATTTTTTAATCTAGAAAACCTTCAAGAGTCACCCAAATCCAAATTGATCATATCTCTTCGAAATTTTCAGAAGTTTGTCAATCCTTTAATTGTTCAGAAATTTATGGTTAACGAGAGACATACGCGTATTTTGTTACTTCAGCACTTCACTGGCTATTTAAAAATATTAACTGATAGTGATTTGTTAAATGTGATATTACCACAAGTAGGTATAATTGCATTTTGTGTTTAATTTTCAACATAATATTTCTAACACAATTATGCATAGTCTTCTTTATTCTTGTACCATATCCTTTGGATTTTGTTGCACCGTTTTACAATAACTCAATCACTGAGTTATAGAAAATTCAATAATATTAGTCAGTAACCAGAAAGTGATGTGGCTTTTATTGTCAGTTTGATCTGTGATCACCGTAAGTAAGATAATATGGTGCAGCATATTGAATAGTAGATGATTCGTTAAGTGGGCTGTTAGTCGTAACCCTAAGAATTTAGTAAGATCACCTGCATATTTAATGCTGACTTTCACAAATTTAAACTTGATTGGTTGACCACGTTCTTGTTCATGAACAATGAACAAGCATATTAATACTCCACATAGTATGGATCACGTACAAAATGAATAATAAATCGAGTTACATATTACTCAAGATCATGGTAATTGTGCAAGTCACCAGAACATATATATATATAGTTATAATTCGATATACAATATATTTTATTCTCAGTGCATTAATTTATACATATATGCGTTCGATTCATTGTTGTCTGTGGACAATGTTGTATCGATTCACAAAATGCTATATAGAGTGCTGGGATATAGCTCCCGAGCGTGACATGCGTATCGGGTTTAAGTTCCAGCTATAGGTGTTGTTTGTTGTTGAATGATTGATGTTCGGAATGCTGGAGTGTGGATTATTGATTGTGTTGTGTGTGGTGTTTGACGTGAATGTATTGTTGATTGTGTGTTTCTGTTTTGTTGGTGTGTGATTGATTCGTGATGGTTGGATGTGCTCTTCGTTTTGTGTTTAATGCATTGATTTGTGCATATGTGTTCGATTCATTGTTGTCTGTGGACAATGTTGTATCGATTCACAAAATGCTATATAGAGTGCTGGGATATAGCTCCCGAGCGTGACATGCGTATCGGGTTTAAGTTCCAGCTATAGGTGTTGTTTGTTGTTGAATGATTGATATTCGGAATGCTGGAGTGTGGATTATTGATTGTGTTGTGTGTGGTGTTTGACGTGAATGTATTGTTGATTGTGTGTTTCTGTTTTGTTGGTGTGTGATTGATTCGTGATGGTTGGATGTGCTCTTCGTTTTGTGTTTAATGCATTGATTTGTGCATATGTGTTCGATTCATTGTTGTCTGTGGACAATGTTGTATCGATTCACAAAATGCTATATAGAGTGCTGGGATATAGCTCCCGAGCGTGACATGCGTATCGGGTTTAAGTTCCAGCTATAGGTGTTGTTTGTTGTTGAATGATTGATATTCGGAATGCTGGAGTGTGGATTATTGATTGTGTTGTGTGTGGTGTTTGACGTGAATGTATTGTTGATTGTGTGTTTCTGTTTTGTTGGTGTGTGATTGATTCGTGATGGTTGGATGTGCTCTTCGTTTTGTGTTTAATGCATTGATTTGTGCATATGTGTTCGATTCATTGTTGTCTGTGGACAATGTTGTATCGATTCACAAAATGCTATATAGAGTGCTGGGATATAGCTCCCGAGCGTGACATGCTTATCGGGTTTAAGTTCCAGCTATAGGTGTTGTTTGTTGTTGAATGATTGATGTTCGGAATGCTGGAGTGTGGATTATTGATTGTGTTGTGTGTGGTGTTTGACGTGAATGTATTGTTGATTGTGTGTTTTTGTTTTGTTGGTGTGTGATTGATTCGTGATGATTGGACGTGCTCTTCGTTTTGTGTTTAATGCATTGATTTGTGCATATGTGTTCGATTCATTGTTGTTCGTGGACAATGTTGTATCGATTCACAAAATGCTATATAGAGTGCTGGGATATAGCTCCCGAGCGTGACATGCGTATCGGGTTTAAGTTCCAGCTATAGGTGTTGTTTGTTGTTGAATGATTGATATTCGGAATGCTGGAGTGTGGATTATTGATTGTGTTGTGTGTGGTGTTTGACGTGAATGTATTGTTGATTGTGTGTTTCTGTTTTGTTGGTGTGTGATTGATTCGTGATGGTTGGATGTGCTCTTCGTTTTGTGTTTAATGCATTGATTTGTGCATATGTGTTCGATTCATTGTTGTTCGTGGACAATGTTGTATCGATTCACAAAATGCTATATAGAGTGCTGGGATATAGCTCCCGAGCGTGACATGCGTATCGGGTTTAAGTTCCAGCTATAGGTGTTGTTTGTTGTTGAATGATTGATATTCGGAATGCTGGAGTGTGGATTATTGATTGTGTTGTGTGTGGTGTTTGACGTGAATGTATTGTTGATTGTGTGTTTCTGTTTTGTTGGTGTGTGATTGATTCGTGATGGTTGGATGTGCTCTTCGTTTTGTGTTTAATGCATTGATTTGTGCATATGTGTTCGATTCATTGTTATCTGTGGACAATGTTGTATCGATTCACAAAATGCTATATAGAGTGCTGGGATATAGCTCCCGAGCGTGACATGCTTATCGGGTTTAAGTTCCAGCTATAGGTGTTGTTTGTTGTTGAATGATTGATGTTCGGAATGCTGGAGTGTGGATTATTGATTGTGTTGTGTGTGGTGTTTGACGTGAATGTATTGTTGATTGTGTGTTTCTGTTTTGTTGGTGTGTGATTGATTCGTGATGATTGGACGTGCTCTTCGTTTTGTGTTTAATGCATTGATTTGTGCATATGTGTTCGATTCATTGTTGTTCGTGGACAATGTTGTATCGATTCACAAAATGCTATATAGAGTGCTGGGATATAGCTCCCGAGCGTGACATGCGTATCGGGTTTAAGTTCCAGCTATAGGTGTTGTTTGTTGTTGAATGATTGATATTCGGAATGCTGGAGTGTGGATTATTGATTGTGTTGTGTGTGGTGTTTGACGTGAATGTATTGTTGATTGTGTGTTTCTGTTTTGTTGGTGTGTGATTGATTCGTGATGGTTGGATGTGCTCTTCGTTTTGTGTTTAATGCATTGATTTGTGCATATGTGTTCGATTCATTGTTATCTGTGGACAATGTTGTATCGATTCACAAAATGCTATATAGAGTGCTGGGATATAGCTCCCGAGCGTGACATGCTTATCGGGTTTAAGTTCCAGCTATAGGTGTTGTTTGTTGTTGAATGATTGATGTTCGGAATGCTGGAGTGTGGATTATTGATTGTGTTGTGTGTGGTGTTTGACGTGAATGTATTGTTGATTGTGTGTTTCTGTTTTGTTGGTGTGTGATTGATTCGTGATGGTTGGATGTGCTCTTCGTTTTGTGTTTAATGCATTGATTTGTGCATATGTGTTCGATTCATTGTTGTCTGTGGACAATGTTGTATCGATTCACAAAATGCTATATAGAGTGCTGGGATATAGCTCCCGAGCGTGACATGCGTATCGGGTTTAAGTTCCAGCTATAGGTGTTGTTTGTTGTTGAATGATTGATGTTCGGAATGCTGGAGTGTGGATTATTGATTGTGTTGTGTGTGGTGTTTGACGTGAATGTATTGTTGATTGTGTGTTTCTGTTTTGTTGGTGTGTGATTGATTCGTGATGATTGGACGTGCTCTTCGTTTTGTGTTTAATGCATTGATTTGTGCATATGTGTTCGATTCATTGTTGTCTGTGGACAATGTTGTATCGATTCACAAAATGCTATATAGAGTGCTGGGATATAGCTCCCGAGCGTGACATGCGTATCGGGTTTAAGTTCCAGCTATAGGTGTTGTTTGTTGTTGAATGATTGATATTCGGAATGCTGGAGTGTGGATTATTGATTGTGTTGTGTGTGGTGTTTGACGTGAATGTATTGTTGATTGTGTGTTTTTGTTTTGTTGGTGTGTGATTGATTCGTGATGGTTGGATGTGCTCTTCGTTTTGTGTTTAATGCATTGATTTGTGCATATGTGTTCGATTCATTGTTATCTGTGGACAATGTTGTATCGATTCACAAAATGCTATATAGAGTGCTGGGATATAGCTCCCGAGCGTGACATGCGTATCGGGTTTAAGTTCCAGCTATAGGTGTTTTTTATTTTTTGTGTTCTTAGTTTTTTTAAGTTTAAAATTTTTTGTATAGAAATATTGACGTCTAATTTCTGTGCTCACTTTTTTCTTTCGTCAATTTCGGTAATATACATTATCTTTAGGTTTGATATCTAGTGATGCTCAATTCTATAAAAGTTTTTATTTTCTGTAGATATGTCGTGGTGTTTTCGATAGTCATAATGCACTATCAGTTTTAAGTTTGCAAGCGTTAGGATGTCTTGCTAGTCGTCTAAATGCTACTGTTGTTTTAAATCATTTACGTCGGATCGAAGAAAGCCTATGTAAAGCTGGCAGTTTATCTAATAATTCTAGTCATATTACGAGCAGTGATGGAAATAATAGATTTATTACTTATGTATGGCCTCGTAATAATCTGTTTTATGAAGCTGCACCAAAAATTAATCGAACTAATCGGGAAATTCCTTTATGTGAGAAGAAACAAACCCATGTTTCAAATGAATCCACTCGACCATTAGCTCAATTGGCCGTTTTTTCTCCAAATTATGATCCATCTATGAATTCCTGTTTATTAAGCTATACGGATGAGTAAGTTGATTTCTTAGTTATGCATAATTTTATTTTTCCCCTACATTACTGTACACAGTAATTTGACTTCATTTATTTATTTGAACACAAATGTTATTACAAATGAACACCAAAATTAATATACCCCAAGCAAACTAGCGAGTAGAATTTCGAAGTTATAGATACAGAAGAGTAAATGTAGTTGGAAAATAATCAGATTAGTAAAAATAAGTGGATGAGAGTCGTGTGTAATGATAGAAGTATTTCAGTTAAGAAAAGTACAACTAGTAAGAATCTTTTAGTTTAAGAAGTTCGTTTCTCTTTTAAAAGTAAGTAAACGAAATTACAATAGAATCGTCAATGGTTTCTGTTTTGAGCCATGTTTGATAAGGTCTCAAGCTACTGAGTTGGACTATCTCTCGAACCTCGGTTAGGGAGTTGTGATAGACCGACAGTTGACAATTCTATACAGCCTTCTTTCATATCTCGGCTCTTCGTTAAAACTGAATACATCTTCATTTTTCACAGTCAGTCCCATCGTGAACTAATAAAGCGATATCAAATAAGTTATCATTGACATCCCTAAACACACATTGCTGAACCTCCTGATTACTAACATCGTTTTGCCACTGAATATCAGCAATCCTTCAAAGACAGCTATAGTTGAACATAGAGTCGTATAACATTTTTAGTTCAATAAGTTCAAGTTTCGCAAGTATAGAACCAAGCTGCTCTCAACGATGGGTTGTGAACCCAGCTTTTTACAGCCAAACTAACATCACGATACCAAAGATGATCCAGATGAACACTAGCATATTTATTACTACTTGAACGTATTACATTCTCAGTCGGCCAGTTATCTACAACGTGGGACAATGCACATATATGCGTCAGTCCAAGTTGCCATACCTTATTAGCACAACAAGGTGAACACCAAATTCATAGAATTAGTTACTTCACGGATAGTAATATATGAAAAAAAGTTCGCATATAAGATTATGATACAGGGAGAAAGAATTAGTTCGTAGAAAGGAAGGTATAAAGTAATTTTAATCTCACCTTTTAAGGGCACTTTAATTTTTGTAAATGCCTGTAAATAAATTTGAGTAAGTCTTATTGTAAGTGACATCTTTCAATTCGTGAAGCTAGGATATTGCTATAAATTTAACATCCTGACAGCGTATGGCTAAGGTACACTCTAAAGAAGCTATTTGTACTAACCAGGTTTGTACTAACCATTTGGCTTGTTTGGTCTGATCAGGAGCATAATATACGTACTTCTTGTTGATATAATTCCAAAATGGTCGGGAATAATTTCAATGATTGATAAAATAATTTTGTATTTCAGTAACTTGTAGTTCGCGTATAATGGTTTGGTTCAATAAACTGTCTTCAATTGAGCATAAAAAGAGTTTAAAAATACGAATTATAATTTTGATATTCCTTTTTAATTTTCTTTTATAAAATCGGAATATCTACCTGCTTAACACGTTTAGTAGCACCAGGTCAAAAGTTGTATGATTCGCACTGGTTTGAATTTCATTCCTTTAGTGGCTCCACAATGAATGGGAACTATTACTCCCACTATATTTTATTTCTATTTCCTTTGCCTTGAAGTTCCGTATGACGGATGAGAGCGCAATGCTATACTGCTTGCAATAAATTGATGTTAATGTAACCTATGCACATAGGTCTATGTATTGCTTGCTTGGTTGAACTAATAATTGGAAATTTTAAATCGTCCTCTCTCTCTCACACACATAGACATAATAAATTCGATGTTGATGTAGTAGGAGCATCTTCAAATTTTTCAAATTTTGACGCTAGATTTTTAAATTGGTCTTTATAAAACGCATACACAAAGCGTAATCAATTTGATTTCGTACGATTAAGCGCAAACACTAAAAATACGTAGTTTACTTTTGGATTGTTAAAAAATCTAGATATTTAATGATATTTATCTTTTCAACTTTCTTTCTAGCCTTTCCACTGATTCTCGTCCATCGAATAGTGAGTTTATTTGGTTTTTATCAATAAATTCGTAAAAATATCTTATGTCAGCTAAGTTGCTATTTTCACAGTTGAAATCACTAGTCGATCTTAGATAGACCACTATTGAAAATCTGGAGACACTGGATAACCGTCTCGTTCTAGTACGGGGCTCCCCAATAATACGCACCTACGACCACACGTGGGATTCGAACTCAGGACCTTCGGTCTCGCGCGCGGACTTATAATGTCTAGACCACTGAGTCGCCATCCAACGGAGTTAATGCCCAACTGTAATCAATCTATTATCTTGCGTAACCCTCCATTAATTAACTATGGTAGATAACGGTCACACTCGACACGAATTAGACTCCACTGGTCACGACTTTTCATATTTTTAGATTTACAATGTTTAATCATATAGCATTTTCACTGTAAAGTCTCAAACGAATTATTGTCTTCTAGCTTTATTTAGCTTTTCAGATTTCGTAGTCATAGATGTCTGCGTAGATTTTCAATGTATTTTATGATTACATGTTGAAAATAAATAGAATAGTCCACAATGGCGCAGGTGCATCCACTCTTTGTGTTCTCCCAAATTTTGATCTCGTTATTCCTTCTTGTCTCTTTTTTTTCTCTTCCCAAATTTATTTCACTGTATTATACTCTTTAAGTAACATCTCCAAACACTAATCTTTCCGATTACTGCTTATACTCTTACTACCTCTACCACTACGGAATTTGAATCGACCACTGCATCTCTGTGCTAATGTGGTGTGGCAACTCGAACTGATGTACGTACGTACGAAGTTCTACGTCGATACTGACTGACTGACTGACAGCCCCGCTAAATAGAGAGAAGTTCGGGTTCAGAAGAAAGAAATGTGTTCACAAGCACGAAAATCAACAAGCACAACTGAAACATATATATACTACATAAAAATATATTTGGGAATCGTAAAAAAAGTAGCATATTAAAAGAGAACAAACCAATGACATTAAAGGTCCTCTCAATGGTAAATACGACATGAAGGTGAAAATGGTCGATTTCGGCCCGAAGACAAGAAGTTCAAATTTCTAAAATAAAACCACAAAAATAAGACATTTACTGAGTTCCGAGGATCTAGCATTCCAAACAGGATTTTTTCGAGGTAATAATGACAAAAGTAAATGCAATATACATAAATTAAATCTACGCTAAGGACTTGTTTAATCATGTACAGATGTTGATTGTATAAAGTATGAAAATATGAGTCAGTAATAATAGTAATAGTAGCCTAATTTTGTTTGATGATAATTACACTTAATGGATAAACAATATAGAGTTCTGTTTACATATTTTTCTCTTTTTAAAAATAATATTTTGACAGTGAATTGTATGCATTTTCACTACAGGTGATGTACTTAAACTGTCAAGTACTATAACGGGAGCCAGTACCATTAATTATACTCTGACTACTGCTACTACTACTACTACTACTGCCACTAATAATAATGTTGATAATGATAATAATTGTCGTCAATTGGATGAAGTCGAAAAATTTCAGTGCAATACTGAAAATACGTTTGATGAAAATACTAAATTTTCTAGTTTAGTTGATAAACCCGTGGTACATTATTCATCATCATCGTCAAGGGAATTGGTTATTAACGGAAAATCATTAGTATATTCTGAAAGCAATTCTAATTGTTTGAATAACCCTGTAGAAGTAAGTGTCCGTGTTTTTTATTGGATTGTTGAGTGCAAGCTTCCATAACAGGATGAATATTCGGACAGTTGGGATTTTCGGAATTATACTGATGTATGATGTACTGACTTGAGCCGATGTACCTTCGTGTCAGGTCGTGCACTGATGATGACTAACTGACTAAACTAATAAACATGAAGTATTTTAGTTTCAATACTCATTGATATATATATTCAATTCATTTATAAAGTCACATCTAAAAAGTGGGAATGTAGCATGCCATATTATCGAATCTATCTTGAAAACAGAATAGTCACATATCTTGTGTTTTCATTGATATCAGCTGACTATTATTACTATTACCATTATTGTTATGTGCTAGTATAGGTAAGACTCGCTTAAAAAACTTCTTTAATAAGGCCACTTTATTGGTACATAAAGATTGTCAAACATTTGTTCGAATATTCTCTATTTAGTAGTTAAAGATAACAGATTTAATATCAGTTGATCTCTAATGTATACAAATAAATATACTAAATCGTTCTTTTGTATTGCTTAGTTTTAATCAAATTCATTAGTAAGAAAAATGTTTAATAAATTTAGATACGATATATATATCAAGTATTTTTAAGGCTTATTTACTATATAACTGTAAAAACTCCATTAGAGTACATCGTCGATATATCCATATTTCTGATAATTAATTACGTTTCCATTTTATCTTTATTATTAAAATTATTCACATGTATATAATCGAAAATCCTATCAAATCATATAATTCAACTGTTTTTACTTTGTCGAATTAATTGACAGAATTCGTTTAATACTGAAGATTGAACGCAATAATATTTCTATATTGAGAATAGTGATCCTGTTTTAACAGCTGAACTGATTAAATTACTAACCGAATATTAGCATTTGTTAAACTGCCATCAAAATCGTCATTATCGAATGATGTTCACCACTGTCCTCCTTTTTATCTAAGTTTGTCATATATGTCCTCTTAGAAATTACGATTCATCTAACTAACCAGGGGTAGACTTGCTATTAAGCGATTCACTTATTGATTTAGAATATGCCGATGATAGTCCTATTCGGTGTAGAAACCATCAAGATGTAGAGTCTGTTGATCACATTGAACATGTATACAAACATGTTGAAGATGCATTTTTATCTGTAAATTCAAAATATTTCCAAAGAACTGATCTACACTACCGCCTAATGGAAGTAAAGTAGTTGAGTGCGTTAACTTATGTTTGGGGAGAGATGTTTATCTGTCAATTAAAGGGTTATTATACTGCACAAGTGTATGTCTAACCACCATCTACATTGATGTATGGTGTTTATTGGTTTAGAATAAGGTTGACAGAAAGCTTATCGGGCGGGCGTTCGGACCAAAATACCGTCAGTCCATGAAATTACTGTTGATCTGAGCCTTGTTGGTGGATCCAAACTACTCGATTGTGGTTTGGGTGATAACCGTGATCAGTAGTTCGAAAATCTGGGTAACATGATTTAGAATCGTTCACAATGAGGCAGATAAACCTACTATTTATCTGCCTCTCGATCTTAAATTCCAGTACTCCTTCATACCTCCTTTTTACTCTGTCTTTTGGAATCACATTCTCAATGCTCAGTCTTTCCCGCGATCATCATTACCACATTATTTCAGTTTCTTTTGCTATTCATCTTATTAGTTTTTATCTCTTTTTGTTAGTATGGTTCATTCCATCTCCCTGTGCTAATGGAGTATGACAACTTAAACCGATGTACGTACGTATCAGGTCCTACTTTGCGATTGACTGACTAATTGCACGTGGTATGCCAACTCAACCCCGCATACATTTTTGTCAGACTCTACACTACTCACTAAATGACTGATTATTTGATTCGTTTACTTGATATATTATCATGTGTTATGAAATTGCAGTCTGTTTGTGGCTTAGTGCAGCCTGTTACAATAATGTTTACTAGCATGGGATCAAGTTTCTCAGTCATATAATTTACCATAAAGCTGTGAATACACTTTTATTATAATGATTCTCTAATACATAAATAAAATTCCCGTATTTGTATATTTAGCTTTGGATATTTGGTGTATAATATATATTTTTGGTTATGAATTTAAAAATCTAGTATTCTCAATCATTTTTTTGTCATAGATTTTTAATGATGAACGTGAAATCGATGCACTCCTTACATTGATGGAACCTAAAATTGTACAGAAACCTATTCCATATTCTCCTCTCAGGTATACAGTTATTTCTGATGAAATGGAAATAAACCGATTGAGCGGACTATCATTAGAACCGTCAGCTGATGCGGTAATTTTTCAGTTGTCCCTTTTTTTGCATAATTATATCATTTTTATTTTTATATGATGTTTATAGAGTTTTGCGTCAGATAAGTTATTTATTTGTGACATTGACCAATTACTAGTGTTTGACCATGTGCGTCTTATAAGCACGTATATTGGGACAACTAAGTAAATAACAATTAAGTTAAACTGAACATACTCTGTAAGAATGATAAATCAGTTGATAAGATTTTGAATCTTTAATGACTGGTAGCTAGGGCTTGTATTAGAACATGCCTGACTACCATCTATCTCGAAGCGCAGTATTAGCTGACATAAAAGTAGATTGGAAAACATTAGGGGTAACTAAATCAAGACGTTAGATCAGTTCATGAAGTCATTGACTGTTTGTCTGAGCTATTTCGGCGGGTCTAGATTATCTGATTACAGTCAGAATGATGACTACAAACAGTGGTTGAAGACTAGTGAAATGGCTGAAAATGAGTCCCAACTGTTCAAGTGCATATCTACTTTTTAACCGTCATCAGATCCAACTTATTTTATACCTCTTATCCCACGAACTGTCTCTTCTCAAACCATATCCTCTATACCTAATTTTTTTTATTACTGCTGGTACTACTTTTTTATACTACTGTATTCTTCATCTTGATTATTTTATCTCTCTATACTCATATGGTGTGTCAACTTGGGACTGATAAATGCGTCAAGTTCTGTGTTGATCTTGACTGACGATATCATTGTAATATCCCAACATTCCAATTGTTCCAACTTTGTATTGCAATTTTCAAAAGATATCCACAATAAGAAGGAATGTATATAATTATGAAATTGACAAATAAATACGTTGTGATAACAATCGAAAGGAAAAGAACTTTTTGTCACAAAATTACGCACCGAACCCGAAAACAAAATAAATTACAGATCATTTCATTTAGTTACACCTTCAAATACATGTTTAAAAAAACAAAGAATTTTCGAGCGAACTATTGCTTTCCATAACTTATTTATCAGGGTCTACATTCAGGCATCCATAATTATTGTGTCAAGGTTATGCATTAGTGAATTCGAAAATAACATGTGCTAAAAAGCAGTTAAGTTTTGCATCTGTTATGGTGTAAATACATCAAAAACGTTTGAAAGGTCATTTACGATAGTTTCATATGTCGTTTGATCAACTAAAGTTTTCAAAACGGTACAATCTATCAACTGATTGTTTTCAAAGATACAGTTTAAAATCGTTCGAATGTTTTCAGTCGTTCCTTAATGACTACTTATAGAAAGAGTTCGTCACCATGTGATTGTTCCTTAAGATAGTACTTCTCTTTTCTATTATTGTTACCAGTTGTAACTAGTTCATTTACCCATTAAATGTTAAGAATCATTTGGTTTCATAAAATTAACAGAACTAATAATTACAGGTAAATAACCATTATATTTTCAATACTAAGTGGTTACTTACATATTCTAATGTATGTTATACATAGCCTTTAGTGATCAACAAACTTCTTGTCATTAAACGAGATAGCAAATCTATTCCATACAGACTATTTTGATTTAATTCAACAAACAGTATATCTACATTTCACCTGAAATGTACCGCTTATACCTCGTATAAACCTTTCTTTTAATTTCTCAGGTTTGTTGTACTAGGATAGGTAATTTGACATAGGACTACATTATTTTGTAACTATTGAATAGTTGAAAATAAATAATCATATTTTTATTCGCATATCTGTTACTTAATAACATGATTTTCTGTAAAAAGAAAATCATTATCCTTTTATGATTGTTTTCTACTATCTTCGTTTCTTAATACTAATGATTATCTAGGCCTTTCATCATCCATTTTATTTTTAAATAATTGATAAGAAAATCTTCACAATTGAATTAATTAGTCGATCTAATCTAGATCATTATTTAAAACCTAAGAATGCCGGATGACCTTTTTATCCCCAGTATGGGTCTCCTCATGAGTGCGTATCCATGATCCTGCAAAGAAAACTTTCCTGTTTTGACTAAGAATTCAAAATAATCTCTTTTGTCGTTTTCATATAAACCTATGAGTGTTTTTTTTGTTTTGTTTGAATTTTCATCTCTCTAATAAACTATTATTTTAGGATACTGAAACCAATGGATGGGAAGATGCATGGAATACAGATACATGAACAGATCAAGCATTCTGTGACGATTATGAAATTGTTTATTACATTTTCTTTTAATTGTTCATTTCTCTCCTTTTCTTTTTACCATTAAAGGTATGGTTTATTTTGTGAGTGGTATGTTTGTTGTTATCATTTTTTCTTTCTTTCTTTCTTTTATATTTATTCTCATTTGGTTTTATGACTATTTCTGTAATATTTTTGTTAAGATAATAAACTAGATTTTGAATCATTTGAGAATATTTACATGTTTGTATTTATTTTGATTTTCGAGCCATTGTAATTTTATCTGTCAGGTAATCATCAGTTTTTCTTTTTAAAAAAAAATCTTGTACAAAAGGTTAATAAAAATCACTATTCTTTTAGTTCATGTTGTTTGTCTTTTTTTCTTTCATTATTTATACACATTGTTAGTTTAATATAGAAATGATTAGATTGGTTTAGTTTATTATTAGTTTTACATTGAACCAGATTTGTTTTAATTTTGATGAATAGATTGGCATTGATGTTCAAATTTGTATTGAAATTGATTTTTATTATTCAATATTATGCTGATAGTGTAGTATAAAGGATAATTAATATGAATTTAGATTTTTAATGAATGAATTCATCATTTTGATAAAACAATGAAAAGACTGAGTTGATCTGAAAAATGTGATATATTTGAGCTGTACATCACTCTCTCTTATGATTCTATCAAAATTTACAAAAGGGATTAGTTTCTTCAAAATTTTTGATTGTCAAGATGATAGAAAACAGTGCTAATCGCTAAATAAACACAATAATACGAAGTAGCCAATTGATGAGTGATCACGAGACTGTTAATGTCGTGAACTCTTAAATGGTTTAAAAATCAGAAGAAACTAACATGATCATATATAAAGTATTGACTCAGTAACATGATTAGATGTCATAAATAACATGAATTTTATGGTTTTCGCACTATCTATTAAATGAAATTTGAACTGTCAGGTCTAATTCTAATCCATCGTAGTGCTACGTATACGGACAGATATAAGTAATAATTATCAGGAATCGGAAGTAGAATTCTTACAGAGAAGGAAAATGAGAAGAAGAGAAAGAAACACAAATGGAGTTGGATTAGTAACATGAATAGAAGAACGATGCAGCTTTTAAGAGACAATTCAAGGAAGATGTGCAAACAATGTACTCAGTACATTGTTTTCATATTTTACAAATTCAGTGTATGATTTTGCACAGTACGGTAATTTGGTTTACCGTACCCAAGTCCCCGTTCATTAAAGTATCGCCTCCACGAAATGAAGTGGATTCGTTTTGTTGTAATAAAGCAAAATGATGATATTTCCCGGCTTGCGTCTTTCATTCAATTTTATTGAAAACCACGTTTTTTGTTACTTTCATCTGTTCCGACCGCATTATCAACATAAAACGTAAGATACTTTACTATCGTTGCCTGATTAACAAGGTAGAACACATTTCAAAACATATAAGCTGTTAATTAACATAAAAATAATCAGGGTTAGTTTGGATTTAGTTTTACATTTAAATAGATTTGCTCTAATATTAGCTGATAGATTGGATTAGAGTTTGTTTTTATTGAAGTCGACTTTTGTTAGTATTCTGTCGGAGTTAAAATAACATTTAAGCGGATGATTTTTTCGCTGAATAGTATTTATGTAACAGTTGGACATTGATCAATGTTCTTATCGTAGTTACCGAAACTTTAATATTAACGTTTTTGTGTTATCTTTAATCTGATGGGCTTACTTCTGAGACTATTATTTGGGTTTGACACCCTTAGAATATCGTATAAAGTCAAACATCCATATAATATATCAAATGACCTTTAATGGGATATGAAGATATCACCCTGAAGTGTAGTGTTCATGCACCTTAATTTCTGTCATATTGATTTCTGTGTGTAGATTTTTTTTATGTAAGAAGGTAATTGTCAGTTGTTGACAGGAAACCCTGGACCTAGGGATTAGATAATAGCTACGAGTTATTTAGTTAATCAAAATATCTGGCTAGGATTATCTTGCTATTTCTTTTCTTTGTAAACATTTTACATCGTCTTGTAAAGTTAGCAAGACAAATGATATTATTAGTATTACTTCTTGTTAGTATAGTTCTTCTCATTTGCTGTGGTTGAATTATCTATTTGTTTTTGGTAAAATAGATAACAAATCAGAGTGTTTTAGGCATAAATCGCGAGCAATCATATTCAACCAACTTGCATGTTTTACTTTTTCCCTTACTAAGACTAACGTATTTCTGCGGATCACAAAATCAGAGCGTAACTTAGACTACTGCCTAGTTCAAAATGGAATTGCGTTTAGTAATAAGCTTTGAAACTTATTTGTGACTTTCAGTATATTCAGGGCTCTATAAAGCACCTTGTTTGCCACACTTCTTATTCTTATGGTATGATCAAAATATACTTTTAGAAAATCTGTCTCAGATTTCTCTGCCGATTCGGCATCAAGGTAACGGGATTTAAATGACTGAAATGTAAACAAATCAGCTTGTTTTGTAAATGTTCATAAAAATCTCGTGTTTGACAATACTCATTTATTTTGAAATAAGTAAACCAAAGTAAAGTTGAATTGTCTATTTACCATTGAAAACCTTATATCATAAGAGTTATCAGCTAGATTGTCAGTAAAATGCGCGAAATTCATTACAATAGAATTTGGGTTATTGAAGGTAGGAAGCATAGGCCACTAAATTCATCTCATTATGTCTGTCAAACATAGTTTATTATAAACATAGAACACTGTACCCAGCTGACATGACTCTGCAAACATGAATTAGTTTTAGTCAGATTAGGTATACTTAAAAATTCAAATCTATTATTACTTTACAAACTGAATTATCAACGTAATTATTTATTTAATTCAATCGAAGAATAAATTACTTTATTCTTAGATTTGTCGATTATGAACTAAATTGTAATTTCACATGTACATGAGTCAGTGATTAAAAATCCCTAAAATGGGGAACATTTTAACTAATCAAATTTACTACAATTTTTGTATGATTCGTTCTCGTTGAAAAATGTACGGTAAGCGTATGACATAATTATTTGCACCAAAAACATACAAAGTAATGATGAATTAATAAGAATAGTAATACTATTAATTAACAACCAATCGACATTAAAACCAACTGAACTACAACAATACAAATTTAATTGAGATTAATTTTATCATGAATTCAAGATATTTGACACATTCCTTATCACCATCTTGTGTTTTTTTAAACACACAATATGTGTATTCTTGAAGAAAATGAAGTACTAATCTCAAAGACCATAGATGTTCAATCTATACATTTTATATTATGTATTTTTCAAAACTGTAATAGTCTATTAAGAAGTATGATTGGCTTAAAATGTCAACAGTTAGGAATTTAAGTGAATGAAGTTACTGTACTCTGTTATTCATTTTTCCTACACTTATCTTTGAATTTGTTTGGAATTTGACAAAGTTTTAAAAAATTCATTAACCTATCAACCAACGGAAATCAGATAATGTTCTATGGAGTTACTTTGTTTATGGTTATGTTTATTTAGCTACATTTATTCAGGTTTGTTAAACTGTATTTATCACTCACTAGTACTTTAATATTTGAAATACTTACGTTCGAATCTAAGTAGTTCAAATTCCAAGTTGTTGAAAATCCAATGTTCATCTTTTATATAAAGAAATTCAGGTTTATTTATGTCCAGTAACGATTACTATTGATTATTACCTTTAAAATAGGTTATTACTTACTTACTTACGCCGCTGACCAGCATTCTCTAACTCACTCTGTCCTGGGCCTTCCTTCCTAGTTCCATCCAATTCTTGTTCATTTTTCTCATGTATATCTCCATTTCCCGGCGTAATGTGATCTTTGGTCTTCCTTTCCTCCTTTGATCTTGAGCATTCCATGTGACGGCCTGCCTTGTGACTCATTTGGGTGCTTTCCTCAACGGGTATCCTATCCACTTCCACTGCTTCTTCCTGATTTCTTCCTCCGCTGAGATCTGGTTTGTTTTCTTCCACAGTAGGTTGTTGCTGATAGTGACTGGCCAACGGATCCGAAGTATTTTACGTAGAAAACTGTTAATAAACACCTGTATCTGCTGGATGATGTCTTTAGTGGTTCTTCAAGTTTCCGCCCCAGTCGACAGTAAAACTGTCTTAACATTTGTATTGAAAATTTTAACTTTGATGTTGGCTTGAAGACTGTTGTTTTGAGTTCCGGATGTTCTCCAGTTGTAAATATGCTGCTATTTCTTTTCCGATCCGCACCTTCACAACTGCATCAGATCCAGCGTGTTCATGAATGATGTTGCCCAGATATGTAAAGTTTTTTCCATCCTCCAAATCCTCCCCGTCAAGCGTGATTCGGTTGAAAATAGGTTATTAGTCTAATCATTTGCAAGTACGGATTTAAATATCCATTAGTTTCCAAGTTAATACGTTCATCACTGAAGTCATTTTTGGATGCCGATTGATAACACATTTCAGTCTGCTGTAGTTTTTGTACGTTCTTTGTTTGCTAAGAATCTGATTTCACAACAACCGACAGTTTAAAAAGTTTTTTATTTTTTGCGACAAAATCAATTTTATTCTCTAGTTGACATATTAATTCGGTCATCACTGAAATAATTGATAAGACAGACAGCTGTTTTACCGTATTTCTGACAACGTTATCAAATAATATCATTGAACAAATTATTTCCAAGTTTGTAGCAAGCACTCTATCACCTATTCAGCTGTTTATTGGGTTTTTTGTATTTCAATAGCGATTTATAGTTGCTTACTGGTTAGATTTAGTAGATTTTTTAATATCTGTTACAGTTAACTATGTTACCACTGTCATTCAAAATCACTTAACATACTACTGTTAATATTGTCATTTCTGTGCGATTTTCTATTTATTCTCTTAATGATGTATTTCAGCGTTGCTGCTGTTTTGTCTTTTCTAGCCTCCTAAAAAGAATAAATCATCAGGCAGTCGTAGTCAACGTAAAAGTTCACGAAAATTAAGTAGTACTAATAAAAAGTCAAACAATCCATCAATTTTAAATAATGATTTACTACAAAGTATCGATGAATTAGATGATGCAACAATTCAGTCATTTGGTCAGGATTATTATCTACTTGTAATTAAACAATTAGAAATGCAAGTAAATGCATATGAAGATTATATTAAACAATTATCCATGCAAAATGAAAAAATTATAACAAAGGTAACCTTGTTCTTGTAGAAGTTAGTTTCTGGTCAAATAAAATGTTTACTGAAATCCTTTAATTTACATTAAGGTCACTTTAAATTGTCATTAACTAATGACTTTGAATGTAGCCGTATACATAAAGTGCACAAAATGACTGGTGTTGTAAACTGTTGAAGATATAATCCCAGTTTTTAATTATATCCAATAGATCTTGGTCAGTTTCACACTACTCTGTGTG